TAATTTGTGGAAACTGACTGAGAAAATACTAAATTGAAGGTGGTGGGGTAAAAAACTTGGTATCTCTGGATTTTCATTTACATTGCTTCAGTGATGCAGGTGAAATTATAGTCACATAACCAAGACATCTCTGCTCCTCTCTTTGTCATAGATATTTAAAGCATGCCAAATGAATCTACCGGCTTTCTTCCCAAACATTTTGTAATGCAATAGTCAAGAAGCGGCTTTGTCATTCATGCAATTAAACTCTTACACAGACTGCACGTTAGCTTGTGGGTGTGGGAGATTTCCTTTGCTGGAATATGAGCCTTGATGATATGCAACGTTTACCCAGTCCAAGACAACTACTTGCCTTAAGAGGGGTCCCCCCCCCGGCCCAGATTGTAATCTGAGTTGGAGAATTCCTTCCACCTACCTCCCCATTTACCTGGTGGCTATAGGAGATAGTGCAGCAATGGAGGCAGAAGGAAGTATCACAGATAGGGTGCTTTTTTTCAGGACATAGGGTCTCCAGAGTGTCTGGTGCCCATACTAAGGACATCAGGTGCTGTGGGAAAACTGTTGCCTTTTCTAGATCATTGTTTCCCCCCCTTTCTCCACAGATCTCAGTTGCCCTTTAAATTTGCATCTGCGTTTACTCCTTCATTCACCTAATTTCTCCGTCACGTTTTCTCTTTGCTTCTGTATATATTTTTCTGCATTCAGCCATCAGACCGCTTTCCCTATGCCTTCACCCCAGGTTATCCAAGGCTGCGGTCACACGGAACATTAGCCACACTAGAGAGATGGAAGATAGGCGGATTTTCCGGGCGCGATCTCACCGCCACATCTGGGAAGCGTAGAGCTCCCGTGGCTCACCCAAGGCTTCCCGCCGAAGATGCGGGCTAAAAAACTAGTACCTCCGAGGTACTAGTTTCTGGTAACCGTGGGGCAAGGGCGGGCGTCTGATCGCATTTCCAGTGGCATCCGGCGCCCGCCCATGTCCCCTTGCAAAAAGGGTTTTTTTTCCAAAGTCTCCATGGATGCGCACAAGCACCCAATGGAGCATCGGCATAGCCCACAGCTTCATTGAACTGCTCAAGCCCCCTCGCCACGACAAGGCAGTGATCCATGAGGGAGTGCTTTTGCAGCAGACTTAAAAATTGTTGCACTTCCAAGTCAGAGGTAATGCTAAGCAGACAAGTTTCCTCGGACTCTGTGACACTGCCCATTCCTCACCCACCTCTACCCCTCTACACCCGTTTCCACCCCTCCTTCCTTTTGCCGTGTCTCCCTCCCTCTCTGCACTTTTCTCCTTCCCACCTTTTCCTCTCCTGCATGGCGAGGTTACCCCATCACTGTAACTTTTTAATAATCCTATTTAGTTCTATTGCTAATATAGATAAATCACTGGTCTTGATATGTGTCCCCCAACCCCCCAGGAGGGCAAGGGCTAGAATCTCACTGGTGGAGGGGAAGGGATACCAATATTTTCAAGGTCTTTGAACTATGTATGCCATCCTGAGCTCCTTAGAGACAAGGCGGGATTTTTCTTTTTAAAGATGGATAGATGGTTCCCATTACCCTCAGCATGAATCCCCGTTCCTTTTGTGACAGTGGGATGACTCCCCCCCCTCCCTGCGGATTAGCCACACTGGGCAGCTGGACCTTCCCGGCTCTCCCAGGAACTGTGGCGAGGCAGGCAGCTGGGCCCTTCCCATCCCCTACCTCTGCCCGGAGATTGCTGCAACTACCTCCCCAGCACCTGCTGCAGGGAGAGGAGGCAACTTGTGGTGGTGATGGGGAATCTCCAGGCAAGAGGTGGGGACTGGGGAGGAGACTGAGCATCGGTGGCCTGCAAGCACCATGGGCAATTAACCCTGGAGGAGTTTGGGCTGGGAGAGAAGTGAGAGAGAGAAGGTGGCAGGGTGGCACTGAGCCGAGCTTCGGCTGGGGCGGCTGCAATCCCTCTTGGCTGGTGGCAGTGGAGAGGAGCAAAAGGCTGGGCTTCTCCAGAGCGCCATGTTCTGTGGCGGCTCCCAACTCCTCCCACCTTTCACTCCCCACTTGTTTTTCTCTCTCACCCCTTGCTCAGTGTCTGCAAGAGCAGCAGCCTCACCCACACACTTTGTCTAAAGGGAAGAGAAACTAAGGCTGAAACTAAGCCATGCTGAAAACCTGAACTGTGAGGATTTCAATGGGAGGTGATTGCTAGATGACGATACTGCACAGCTGTGGTGGGACAATTGCATATTTTTTAAAAAAAAATGGGTGCGATCCCTACGATGTCACAACTTACATGTCCACATTAAGTATGCAAAAAATGGGTACTGCACAGCTGTAGCGGGACAATTGCATATTTTTTTAAAAAAAAATTTGGGTGCGATCCCTACGATGTCACAACTGACATGTCCACATTAAGTATGCAAAAAATGTGGGTTTTGCTTGTAGATGCAGAATGCATGTATGGAATATGCAATAAATACAATGGAGGGGGGGAAACAGTGCAGAGGGAATGTGGGTGAATCCGAAGTAAATGTGTAAGGCTTGACTCCTTGGATTCTCCAGAGCAAGCTGTCAGTGCAGAAGGGGCCTGTGTTTCTCAGTGTCATTGATGCCTAGGCCGCTGTTATAACAGTGCAAGAAGGGGGACCTGCGATATTTGCGGTGGGGGAGGAGAAGGAAGCAGCCGCAGGTGAGCCTTCTCCCATGCCCCTCCCCGGCACTCACAGTGAGGCCCACGCTCCTCCAAGCCTTCTCCCTCCTCCCCCCCCCAGCACTGGTGGCAAGGCCTGAACTCAGCCCGCCGAACTTTCTCCCTTCCTTCCTCCCCCCCCCGGCAGCGGCAAGGCCTGGCCGGCCCGCCAAGCTTTCTCCCGCTCCCCCTTCCCCCCAGCAGCGGTGGCAACACATGAGCTCGGCCCACCAAACATCCGCTCCCCCTGCGGCAGTGACTGCTGGA